GCCCTCCCCCGACAGCGCGGGGGGCTGGGCGGAGTCCCGGTCACGTCCGCCCTCGAGGGGCGGGGCCTGGTAGGACGGAGCAGCGCGTCTGTGTTTGCAGCTTCGCACAGGTGGCCTGGCGTGACCATCGAGCTCACCTGCGTGTGGCCGCGCCGAGGGTCAGCCGGCCCCCCGGCCCTCGGGGGACTGGGGCGGAGCCTGCACAGTCAGGAGGCCTGGCTCCAGGGTTTGTTTGTTTTTTTTAAAGATTTTATTTATTTATCTTTAGAGCGGGAAGGGAGGGAGAAAGAGAGAGAAACATCAATGTGCAGTCACTAGGTGTTGTGGACTGCAACCCAGGCATGTGCCCTGACTGGGAATCGAACCTGCGATGCTTTGGTTCGCAGCCCGCGCTCAATCCACTGAGCTACACCAGCCAGGTGGCTCTAGGTTTGGAAAAGTCACCTGACCACAACAAGTCACTCCGCCTCTTGTAACCTCACAGATCCATGGGATAACACGCGTGGAAGTGGTGTGCGAACAGCAGCACACCGTGAAAACCACGCGAGTGTGAGTGGCAGCCTGCTTCCCACGCCCGGGGCAGAGCAGAAGCTTGGCCGCTGCCGGCGGCAGCTCACAGCCCCTCTCGCCGCCACCCCCGGACGTGCACAGCCCCGGTCGTGGGGCCTCGCTGCCCGGCTTCCCGGGAGGGAGGAGGCGGGGTCCCGGCAGGAAGAAGCTGGGCGCTGGGAGCACCCGGGCCCCTGCGTGGGTGAGAGTGGGTCTCTCTATCCCACCGTGCAGGGCCAGACGCCTGTGAGACTCTGGTGGCGCTGGCCCGGAGTCTGGAAGGGTCCGGAGTGCAGACTTTATTCTCCGCACCCGCCCCAAGGTGGCTCCTGAGGCGGGAGTGGGTGCAGGCCAGCAGCCTGACAGTGCGACTGCTTCGGAAAAGGATTCGTTTTTGCCGCTTCCCCAGCAGTCTCTGTGCTTCCTGGTCGCAATCGCTCAGACGACCAAGGAGGGAAATGAGGACGTTACCTGTAACCCTCGGCCCCAGGTCGGAGGGAGGCTGTCGCCACCCTGTGCTGGGGTGGGAGCGTCTGGGAGGGGCCTTGGGGTGCCCCCAGCTTTCCTTTCTCTGCTCCTTCTGCCGCTGGACCCCGGCGAGCCAGTCACCGCCGTCACCGCCAGGCCGCCGGCCCCAAGGGAGTGGGAGGGACTGCGCCAGGATGCTGGAGGAGAAGTTTCCGAGCCCGAGGAGGCCTCGGTCCCACCTGCCACTGGGGCCACACCAGGGCGGGATCCACTGTGGCAGTTCCCAGTGTGCCAGTGGGCAGGCTCCTGTCCCAGTGCAAGTCCCAGCCCCGCCCCTGCCCCTGCCCCTCCGAGGCGGGGCCCAGGGGGCCGTTGTCCACAGCGGTTGTGTCTCTTGCGTGGCGGTCAGCAGCACTGGGCAGCACCAGCCCAGTAGAAGGGCGTACAGGTTCGAGTCTAAAGACCCAGGAGGTCTGGGACGTCACCGATGGCAGCGACGGCTTCCCCAGCCCCAAGGAAAGGCTGGCTGCAGCCCTGTCCACACCCGAGCCTCTAGCCAAGGCTGTCCTCGGCGAGGTCCAGTCAGACGAGCTGTGTGAAGTCTTCGAGACCGTTCCGCGGTGTAGGCGGCGGGGGGGCTGGGTGTCTTCAGCATCACGTGCCTCGGGCCTGCGTGGCGGTCCCCTCCCCAGCCCCTGTGGGCCCGGGCCCATGCCGGGCACAGAGTGAGGCTCCTGGGGAGGGAGGTGAGGGCCCCTCATCTCTGGGACACTCTGTGTTGTGAGGGTGGCCGGCGGCGACCCTCGGGACTGCAGAACCGAGCCCGAGAGACAGAGGCCCTGGGAGCATGTCTGCCAGCTCCATGACGAATGTCCCCAGCTCCCTAATGAGCCTCCGCGTGGCGCAGCGAAGCCGTTCCTCCCCCAGGGGACCTGCCGCCTGCACCCACGCCCCCTCCTTCCGCTCGCGCTGACTCACCGTGACTCACGGGCACACACAGCGGCACCCCACTGGGCCCCCTCCCTCCCCCTCCTCCCCCCAGCCTCATTCACCTCTGTCTGTTCTGAATGTTGGCTTCTCAGATCACGGGGCACATCTCTAACGAAGAGGGAAGCACAAACTTGCACAGCGCTAAAATATCAAACTATACCCATTTAAGTTTTAAAAACACCTTTAATTCTCTAGGCTTGTTGTCGCCCGCCCACAGCCATTTTCCGTCTCCTGTGCGGGAAGCCTGCCGATTCTTTCTCGGGCGGGTTCTCCCTCCCGGCCCCACCGCAGGGCCCCGGGGACAGGCCCCGCCTCGCCTTACCCCACCGTGTTCGGCGCCCCGGGGGAACCTGGGGAGGAAGCACCGTCGCAGGCTCTGCCTCCGAGGGCACGAGCTCGGGAGAGAAGGGACAAGGGACGCACCCAGAAAAGCCGGGGTGCGGGCGGCCGCCTCCGCCTTCCCTCGCCCACTCAGCCTCTCTCCTGCGCGCATGCACCCCGAAAAGCCCGTCTTCTCCCTCGACTGAGGGCGCGTCAGTCCCAGAGACCCACGTCACTCTACGGGGGACGACCCGGTCCCCACCCCACCCCCTCCTGCAGGGGACGACTTCGTGAGCCCATTACCGACTTTGTATTTCCCTTGTCTGTAGTTCTGTCGCCCCTGGAATCATCGGTCTCCTGGGGAAACTGCTCTCTCCCCTGCTCCCCTCCCCCTGCACCCAGTGGCACGCATCCCCAGCCAGGAGACAGTTCCCGAGGTCTCTGCAGCTGGTGGGCGGGGCTCCTCGGTGGGGAGAAGCCCAACTTGGGGGGCTCCTGCAGCTCCCCGAGGCGTCCGAGCACGCTGCCCTCTGAGGCCAGGGACGGAGAAGCGGTGCTTCTGTCGGACCCGCAGCCCGAGCAGGCAGGCCCGACCAGGCCCTCCGAAGCCAGGGCCGCCTGGGATGCCAACGCTCAGCCCCAGGCGTGTGTGGCTTCCGTCTTCGGGCCTGGGAAGCGCCGGCCCTGGGCTGGGCAGTCCTCCTGGCTCCTCCGGGACGGGCCGGAGCCGCCATGCCGTCCGTCCTCGGCCGGGCCAGTTTTCCCCCAGGCTGTGACGGCCACCGACCCACCTGTCCCTCCTTAGTCTGACTGCACGCGGACGACTGACTTGGAAATGCCGTGGTGGGCACGGGTGGTCCTCCGAGAAGGGGGCGTGGCATCCGTCGGTGGTCCGGGGAAGGCCAAGGAGATGCTGGAGAAGACGCCGTGGTCAGAGGCTGCCCCCGGACCCAAAGGCAGAGAATGGACCAGCGTGGGAGGCGGGGACAGGGAGGCCAGCGTCCTCCGGCGGCCGGAGCCCACCGCAACCGCAACAGTGCGGGGCGAAAAGCGTGTCGGAGAAGGTGGAGCCTGGGAGACGCCGGCCGTCGGCTGGAGTCGGGGAGTCGGGGAGTCGGGGCTGACGGTGACACAAGAAGGGAAGGCTTTTCCTCGAAGACAGACGAGCGTGTAAAGCACACGCCAACTTCTCGGGCCTCGGGCAGGAGCCCGCCGTGCGGGCTGAGCCGAGCTGGGCGGCTCTCCTGCTGGGCTGGGGGCCCCGTGCGGGGGTACTCCGCAGCCGAGCGTGGGAGGGCTGTCAGGGTGGGTGGTGGGGGGTCGGGCCCCTTTCCGTCCTCACGCGGCAGGACGGGCTGGCTTGTTCACCGGCGGGTCACCGACTACGGGGTTCCCGACAGCCGCAGGAGGGGACCAGAGCCCCACGCACGAGGATTCTCCAGTCTCTGGTGGCGTCCCGTTTGTCTCTGGGCCGCCGGCCAGATCACATCACCTGGCCGACCCCAGGTTCAAGGGGCGGAGAAACAGACTGCGCTTCCAGGTGGGAAGGGAGGAGTGGCCATTTTTTTTGCCGTGTACACAAAATGCCGAATCCGGAGATGCAGCTTTGGGAGGCGAAACCTATCGTTCAGGCGAGAGTGGGCACGGGAAGTTCTCCTTCCCGAAAAGCGACACACCTGGTCTCCCAAAGCATCGGAGCGGCCGCCCGGCGAGGCCAGGGTGCCCGGCCACGTCTCCCGCGTGCAGGGACGGCGGAGCTCCGAGGGCGGGGACGGCGGCGCGTGGTGACCGCCCGGGAAGATCACGTGCAGTTGGTGGGGAAGACGGCCGCATTCCAGATGCGGTGAGAGCCTAGGTTCTCTTCTCCTCAAGTGCTCGCCGCTTCCTCTTCTTTCCCCCTCTTCCCTTCCACGTGTGTGCGCGGAGCACTTGTCACCAGGCACCCGACGACAGCCCGACCAGAGTGCGGAGGGGGGCGGGCTCCGTGTGTGGCCCCAACCCCTGAGACAGCCCCCGTGGGGGCGAGGGGGAGCCCTCAGCGTCCAGGACTCAGCCGAGTGCAGTGGAGAGAGAGAGAGAGAGAGAGCAGCTCCGTTCTCCGGACGGGAAAGGAAAACCACCGAGACGGCTTCCCCAGCGGGCATGCTCTCTTCCCTGGAGCTCCAGCCACTCGACACCTGTCGTTCAGAACAGCACACGGGGTCATTTCTGTGACCGTCCGGCAGGCCACGGTCACGGAGCTCAGGGAGGGCCTTCCGGTTCTAGTGAGACAGCAGCTGGCGACGCGTGAGAAGGAGGCGATGGGGGGGAGGGGCATGCTGAGCCGGGGGCGGTCTCCCATCCTCGGCAGGCGGCCCCCTGACGGCGGGGACGACCCTCGGTCTCTTGGGCTGGTGCTGGGAGGTGCGGGGAGGCGTCCTGCAGGCAGAGGCGTCTTCCAGAGTGCGCGCCCCGTGGGGCTCGGAGAGGCGTCCTGGCTCAGCTCAGCAGGCGGGGCGGCGGGGGCCCTGTGGCCGAGAAACTCCACGTCGGGGAACGTTCTGGCGCGTAGTCGTTTCCGTGACGAGTTTCTCCAGGGGGTGCGCCGGCGACCGAGGTTTGGAGCCAGCTCCCTCGTGCGGTCCCCCCGCCCCTAGCCAAGGCAAAGATCGGCAAACCTTCCGAGGTGGCGGCCGGAGAAGGTCCCGGGCCGGCTGGCTCCTGGGTGTGTGTCCGGCCCCCGTCACCCACGTCTGGTTTCTAGTCGTCCAGAGAGACGTCTGGGACACGCATCAGACCACCAGCGACATCCTGGTCGGAAAGTCGTTCTGGGGAAGAGCAGACAGGCCCCAGCGTGAGACCACAGGCCGGCGAGGGGAGCCCAGCCCAGCCCAGCCCAGCCCGGCGCAGCGGGCGGGTCTGCGGGCCGAGTCCCCGGCCTGTGCACGCCCGGCCGGCCCGACACGGCATTTCCCTCAGCTGGCAGCTGCCGTCCCCACGTCTGGCTTGGTGACAGCAAACGTCTGGCAGAGCCGAGTTCCGGGGACACGGAATAACCAGAGCTTACGGCGTCACATCCCCTCTGGGGACGGGGCGCCGAGGGCCCGGTGTCCCCGGAAAGCGCCCTCCCTGCTCCCAGGACATGGGTCACTACGTCCTTCTCCTGGGAGGGCCATGGAAGACCCTTATTTAGGATGGATCAGTCATCCCATCAGAACCTCTCTCTGTGCTCGGGCTCTCCCCGGGAGAAAACATCTGGACTGGAACCGGGGAAGCAGGGTGGTCGGAGACGCAGGGGACTGAGCAGGGGCCTGGAGAGTGGGCGCGGAGGCCCCTGGCAGCCCGCTGTCGACATCTGTGGGTGTCCCCAAGGCTGCTCTGAGGTCCAGAGCTGGTATCTGGGGCCTGGGGGAGGCACCCCCCCTCCCCCGCCCTTCAGAGAGAAGGCGGCAGGGTCTGTGTAAGGCCCCTCCCACTGGAGACAGGGAGCTGGGCCGGGATCAGGCCGGCTTCCCCAAGACGTGCGCCGGCCGTCTCCACTCAGCAAAACGTCAGAGGGGAAAGAAACTGTGAGTGGTCCTTCTCCACGAGCCGCAGCCGCTCACCCTCCCTGGGACGGGGACTCCTTCCGGAGCTGGATGCGCGTCACACACCCTCACCCCAGGGTGGAAACGGGGGTGGGGGGTACACATATGGGCATGCGCAGCACCTTCCGCCGGCCGGCCTCCGAAGCCCACCTAAGGCCCGCGGGGGTGGCGCACCTGGAGTCCCTGATGCTAAACGCCTCTTACAGCTGGTCGCTCAGGATCCAGCTCCCCAGCTGCACCCCTGCGACGCCCGCCTTTTCCCGCTCTCCAGGCCGGGCGGCGCCCTGCTCGCTTCGCGCGTGCCCGGTAGAGGGCGCTGGGGAGCCAGCCTGACCCCCGCGTCGCCCGAAGCGGGCCGCTGGGCTCCGCCCCTTGGCCCCCCCCCCCCGGGCGTCTGGGGGCCACCCGCCCCGCTCCCCGCCTCTGGCCACCCAGCCCCTGGACGTGGCCCTGGTCCGGCGGCGCGCGCGCGCGACCCCACCTGCTTCTTGGCGGGCTCCTTCTTCCGCCTCTTCTCCGAGGTGCTGTGGCCGGACAGGTCGCGGCCGCGGTGGGACGGCGCCCGGCTCAGCTCGTGCTCGCTGTAGGGCGGCAGCGCGTCGTCGGGGGCGTCCTCGTCCTCGTCGTCGTCGCTGTGCGGGGCGCGCGCCCGGTAGGTGGCCGGCGGCGACCAGGCGTAGTAGGGGGCGCCGCGCCGGGCGGGCGTCTCCAGGCTGCCCCCGCGGCTCGGGTGCTCGCAGGCGGCCGGCAGGCTCACCAGCCGCGGCAGCGCGGCGTCCTCGGGGGTCCAGGCGCGCTCGGCGTCGGCGGGGGCCTCGCGGCTGTGGCTCCGCACCCCGAAGTACCGCTCGGGCGAGTAGTCCTCGGGCGGGCCGTCCCCGAAGAGACCCCCGCGCGCCCGCGTCTCTGCGCTCTCGAAGCGGCTCCCCGGCCGGGCGTCGAGGCTGCCGTCCGCTCGGCGGGCCCGTGCGGCGTAGGAGTCGGCGAAGGCGGCCAGCTCGTCCATGGACACGGCCGGCACGCCCGTGGCGAAGCTCTTCCGCGACAGCATCTCGGACTTGGAGCGCTGCTGGCTGCGGAGCCGGGACACGGGTCAGGCGGCGCGCAAGGCGAGGGGCAAGCACCTGCCTGGGCCGAGCCCTGGTCCCAGCCCACCCCCACCTCTCACCGCACAGGGTCTCCCACAGTGTTAGGCATGGGGTGGAGGGGACACATTTTGTGGTCCCTACGGGGCAGCCACCTGACTGTTATCTGTGACCCCTGGTGGGGAGCCCCGGGGTCACTGCTCACACCCTCAAGCCCCCACAGGAGGTGTGGCTTGCAGGTCACACGGCTGTGGCCAAGGAGCCCCTGGGCCACTTAGTGATGCCCGGACAGGCCTTTTCCTCCCTCCGAGCCGACCGCCAGGCCACCTCATGGGCGCAGGCCAGAGGACCCCCCACATGGGAGGGTCTGGGACAGAGGTCTTGGAGTGTCTGCCGTCCTCCAAGGCAGAGGCCAGGGGAGTGAGCAGGTGCTGCCTGGTGGGAAGCGGCCATGCGGAAGGGGCGCCACGACTGGGTCTCCCACATCTGCTGGCCCCGTGGCCCTGGGTGAGCTCCTTGGCCTCCCTGTACGCTTCGGTGTTCCCAGCTTAAAATGGGGACACTTACAGCGCCTGCCTTGTGGAGTTACAACCACCAAATGCAACCGTGTGATGTGTTTGACCTTTAACCTTTCCCGTGTAAATGATCAAACAGGATGGTGATGCTGGGGGGGACTTTTAGAGGCCACGGGATGCAATATACAGCCAGGACAGGGCGGGGTCAACAGGGTTCATTTAAGGGATCCAGAGTGCCCACCTCCAAGGGCCTGGAACGGTGACTTCTACACACAGCGGCCCCCTTGCTTATTAAACATGGGAAGGGGGTGTTGTCATAGGAAGGGGAGGTGGCGGCGGGGTAGCAGAGGTGCCACCGGGCAAGAACAGCCCTGGGTCCACCCTGCCTCCCGCGCCTGCCCCTCGCGCCCAGCCCGAGATGCCCCCCGCCGCCGCCCGCACCTGTGCCTGAAGCTGTCGCGGTCCTCTCTGCTGTACTCCACGGCCGAGGGCCCCCGGGCGGCCCCGCCGCCGCCCCCCACGACACTCGACCAGTAGTCCGAGTTGCTCTCCAGGTCGCCTGACGCTGGGAACCGCTTGCCCCGCGTCTGGTGGTAGGACTGGCGGAAGCTGCCGTCCTCCTCGTGCAGCGAGCTGAGCTCCGAGAGGGCGTTGTTATCTGTGGGGGCGACACCGGGCGGGACAGGGCTCTCCACATGCCCGTGGTGGCAGCGGAGGCCAGGAGCCCCGGGGCCCTGCCGCCGCGGGGCCCCAGTCCGGTCCCGCCCGGGGCGGGTGTGAACCTGAACCGGTGGTGTTTGTGTCGTCAGCTCGGCAGGCGCTGGCCCCAGCCCCGGGCTCCCTCGCTGACCGAGTGGGAGGCTTCTCCGTCCCTGCCCTCGGGAAACAGCCGTCACTGCCCCACCCCGGGCGGGCTTCCCGGGGCCCGGGCTCCCCGCAGCTGCAGCCGCAGCCTCCTGGGGCACCGTCACCCTCGTTCAGACGTCTGCCTTCTCCGTGCACGACTCTGTACCAGCCGCGGTGACCCGAGGCACGCTAAGCCACGGGGTGGGAGCGGGCAGAAGCCCCAGATCACAGCGCCCCTCCCTACTGTCGGCCCCGTCCCGAGACGGGGCCTCCAGGGCCGGTGCTGCCCTGGCTGTGGGGGCGCCCCCACCAGCCTCCTGCAGCCGTGGCCCTGCCCAGAGAGCAAGGGGGTCCACGGGGCCAGGGGATGGGCACGCCTCAAGTACGACCGGCCACCCCTGTGCAAAGCTCCTCCGGGAGCCTGGAACGGCCTCTCTGAATGGCCCCAGGTCCATTTCCAGGGCTGAGGGAACCTCCTGCCCCCCCGGGGGGCTGTTCCCAGGTGTCTGTGGCCACAGCGGCTGGGACAGCTGTTGGCAGGTGTGGGGAGGAGGGCGGGGGCTGCACCCTGGCCTCCGGCCTCCAGGTGTGGTCTGGCCCCAGCCCCAAGTGCAAGGGGGGTGGGCTGCTCCCAGCTTCCTCAGGTCCTAAGGGGGCCCGGGGGGCCTTGTGCAGAAGCACACGGGGGAAAAGGACCAGAATGGGGATCTGGAAAGAAAGGGGAAAGAACCTATTTATTTATAGAACTTCAAGATGGATTGAGTTTCATTTTCCTGAAAAAATAAATCCAGTGACTCTATTTGTCATGTAATTCAAGCCATGTGTTTTCCAAAACCCCTCGGTCAGAACTTCCAAATGTTGTCGGAATCAGCACCGAGCACACACGAGGTCTGGCTGCGGAGCGAGAGGGAGGCGGGCTCGTGGTGGGAGGCGCGAAGGCGAGTGGGCCGGAGCCTCCCTCCCGCCCCCCGCTGCCGCTCTCCCTCCGTGTCCCCGGCGGCCCGTGGAGGAGTGGAGGAGGGGTTTCGCTGCCTCCCGCCCCCGCAGGGGAGGGCGGCCCTGCCCACGGAGGAGACACGGCTCCTCTCGGGTCCCTGCGGCACGCGGGGCCGGTCAGGAACGCCCCATGGTGTGGTTATCCGTGGTTTTATCACCTGACTTTAAACCTTTCTTTCTTCCCAGCAACTCCCGGTTAGTAAAACCTAGAACCTCCCTTTTCCCGTGGTCCCGGCGAGGCCCAGCCCCTGGGAATCGCACAGAGAGAACTCGGAGATGACCGAGTGAGCGTGAGCACGGTCTGGCCCCGTGTGGCTACTGCAGATTCGCACGACTGGCTCAGGGCTCTCCCGAAACTTCAGGGGATCGTGGAGACTGTTCTGTGCCCCAGACAGCGAGGGCTCTCTGCCTCCCCGCTCCGCGGGTGGGCCGTCCAGGCTGCATGCTCCGGGATCCCTGCCCCACGGAACGTGACCACCGACCTCCGCCTGACCCTGGGCGTCTCGGGCGGGACAGGCACACGCCCTCCGCCAGGGGCCACACGGCCCGTATTTCAGGATCTGCCGGCAGCACTGTCACGACCGTTCCGCTCTGCCCCTGTCGCCTGGACGGAGTCACAGAGAACACACTCGTGTATGTGGATTGGCTTGGCTGTGCGCCAGTAAAATTTACGTACTGGAACGGCAGGCGGGATGTGGGTGCGCTGGGACCCCAGACTAAACTCATCCCAAGAGCAACCCCTAATCACAGGGGGTGAGGCATTGGGGGTCTCACGGACCAGCGAGCCCGTCGGCCTGACCCTGGAACCCGCACTTCTTACAGAATGGGTCCCTCTCTCATTGCAGCCTGACCCCAGGAGGTCCACTCTGGGATGAGGTCCACTCTGGGATGAGGTCCTCGTGACTGTCCCACTTCTGTGCCCACCCCCCCGGGGCTGCTCTGCTCTTCAGAAATAGGCCCTCTCCAAGTCCGGGGAGCTCTGCCCTGCCTCATCTCTGTGCCGTTGTCGTCATGACAACTAGCCGGTTCCAGGAGACGGGGCTGCAGTCCTGGCGTGGGCGCCCAGTCCCGGCACTGGCGACGCCCCTGCACCTCCCTCCGCTCCGTCCTCCGTGCAACGAGGGAGGGAGACTCAGGCGCGTGTCTCTGCCGGCTCCAGCGCCCTGCAGCCCCGGGAGCTGGCGGGCTGTGCTCTCGGAGCACAGCACCACGGAGCCGCCGGGCCGCCCAGCGGGTCTGGGACAGGGGCCGGGAGAGCTGGGTTCTGGTCTCGTTCCCTTGGGCATCTGTGTCTTCATCTTCGGTCCAGGCCACCGCCAAGGTCCCCCCGGACACAGAGATTCCCTGGCCGTAGGGCCCACTGGGCCATCTCCATCCACTCAGACAGGAGACGCCTCCTAGTTTAACTTCTTCTCTGCGCCGTGAGAGCCACCGCTGCCCCCACGGGCCCGTTCTCCCCGATCGCCATCGCCGGCCAGCTCCCTGTCCCCCTGCAGGGCTCCATGACAACACGGCTACCGCCAGCTTGTCAAGTGCGGTGACATCTGCATTCCTGACATTCCAATCTGGAGCCGGTTTTTTATAGCCCGCGAGGTGGGAGGAGGCACGGTGCACCCGGCTCCCACAGGATGGATTTAGAACCGCAAGCCGGGCGGGCGGAACCTGCCGTCCTTCGTCTGAGCGAGGCTGCTCGGGGCTGTGGCTCACGGCTTCCCCCAGAACCCCATCTCGTCCCTCGTGGGTTCCACAGGGACAGGCACGGCGACCTCACGGCCGCGCCTGGCCAGGGGCGGGCCAGTCCGCGTCCGACCCGGCCTGGGCTGCGTTTCAATGGGACACTTCCTCCCCCGGGAGTGCTGAGCCTGCCCTGGCCACTCGGAGACCCAGTGGGAACCTCGGGGGCGGGGGGGCACCATGGCCCCGTGCTTCCCGCCAGAGTCCCTTTGTCCCTCCCTCCTGCACACCGGAAGCCACTGACCCTCTTCAGGGAGGCCTCAGGGTTCTGACCCTGGGCGCCTAAAGCGGCCCGCCTTCAGTGAGTCAGTGCCGCCCCCCCCCCCGGCCCCGCGCCCCCTTTAGCTGCGAGTCCCCGCACAGCAGGCCCCCAGACCCCGCGGACACGGTGCTCACAGCGGCCGCGCAGCCTCCGGGCGGGGTCGAACTGCGCCAGCTCCTTCTCCACGTAGTACAGCACCTTCATGGAGTCCCGCTCCTTGTCGGCCTGGATCCGGTAGCCTTTGCGGACTGTCGGGGGAAGGACAAGGCGGTGAGCCGGCCATGCCGGGGGTCGGGGGCCCTGGGGTACGGCACAAGCGGAGAACACGGTTCCCACGCGGACGGCCGCCCAGGAGCCGGGACCGCGCTCCCACCCGGGGGTGCCCTCTGCCCCGCGGTGGAACGGAGGCCCGGCGGGTCACCGACCGAGTCCCATCGTGGGGCGTTTTTAGTCGACCCTTGACCCCTGCTTCCCGTCTTCCTCCCCCCCCAAGCAGCCCCACTTCAAGAGCGTCCCCTCGGACCCCAGGATGCTCCGCTGACGTACACACACCAGAAAAACGGTGCCCTCCGGGCCGAGGACCCGGGTCGCCGTCTTACCGAGCGCCCCTCGGGGGCACCTGCATCTACGACACGGACCCCTCAGCCTCGGGGGCCTCGACCGAGGGGGCCCGGACACCTCCAGTGGCCCGGGGGGCGGGTGCGGGCTCCGTGAGCGGGGGTGCGTGGGAGCTAGCGGGGCAGGATCAGGCCACGGGCTGTGTAAGCGTCGGCGGGGAGCCCAGCAGGGTCACCCAGGGGGGCTTCCTTCTCTCCTTCCCTCCTGTTAGGGGAGGGAGCGCCGCCACCGCGATTTAGGCGCGAGCGATCCGGCCGGCCGCTACGGGGTCGCGGGCAGGAGTTATTTTCAGGGCTCACTAAACAGCAACATGAAAGCCCCCCAGAGAATCCCCGCCCCCCCCCCCCGTCCCTCAGACCGTCAGGGACCCGGGCTGTCGGGGCCCCGCGGCGGCACGTAAGCATCGGTCGGGTCCCCGCACCGGCCCCCGCGGCAGGAGACAGGGGAGGAGGGGGGGACGAGGGAGGACGGGGGATGGGCGCAGGACAACAATGGTGACAGATGACATCTGGGGCACTGACCATGTGCTGGGTGCTCTCTGGGTGCGGCAAGTGGACCCGACTGGACGGCTGGCCTGTCCCGGGCCTCGGGTCACCGTGGGGAGGACAGACGCAGAGGAAGGGGCCTGCGGCGGGTGGCGAGGGCGCTGCAGCCTGGGGTGTGGTCCTGTCTCCCTGTCATCTCCCATCGGGACTGCACCAAGAGCCGGGGGCAGCTGACCCGACTCCAACACCCCTGTCCCCACCGCGAGGCGGACGCGCAGAGCAACCACAGGGCTGCCCGGCCCCGGCTCTCTGGCCGCGCCGCCCCGGCCGTGGACAAAGCCTCCCGCATGCACCACGGACGTGGAAGATTACGAGAGAACATTCCGCAGCCCTGGCACAGAGGACGGAGGGACGCCCCCACGCGCCTGGTTCCTACGTGGGAGCACGCCGGGCAGTCCACGCTCCTCTCGAACCGCGGCGTTACTTATAAAAAAGAACGAATCTCAGCACATGCCCTTAAGCACCTCCCCCCACCACCCCCAGGTGACGTCCGAAATCCTTTCCAGAGGCGACCATTAGCAGAAACGACTTTATTCACCGAGCCACGCGGCCTCCCGCCTCTGCACGGGCAGTTCGACGGATGCGCCGTTACCCCCACGGGGCTGCGGTCCGCGCCGCCGCCGCAGCTCCGCGTGACGGTGGGACACAGGGCTGGGGCGCGGGGCCGGGCCCATCCCCCGGGCAGGCCACTGGGTGACCCAAGTCAGTGGCGACCCCTCGAGGACTCTGTCGTCGGGCCTGCAAAGGGCTTCTATCACTCCCCACCCTTGGAACAACCTCTCGAAGGAGAGAAGACGACCAAGTCCGACTCGGCGGCACCGTCTGAGTTCTTTGTCACTGTTGGCGGCGGCAGCGCCAATGCCAGCTCCTCTGAAGGGCTTCGCTGTCCGTCGCCGGAGACGTTCTGTCTCCGCTCCGCCTCTCTCCTGACTCACAAATCACTCCGTGTGGGCTTCTGTCACGGCCCTTGACGTATTCTGGCTCAAGTTGTTTGTGCAAGTGCGTAATCTTCCCGCAGGCTCTTGAAGGACAGGAATCATCATTCTGGGGGGCGGGGGACCCAGACACCCTGGGCCCTTGCTTGACACACACACAGCAGGGCGTGGTGTCTGTGGAGCGGAACCGCAGCCTGGGGCGGAGGGGGGCCACTGCGCTCTCCAGAAAGAGCATTTTCCGATGAGTTTCCTTCTCTAGACGGTGGACGCCCGGGAACGGGGGCCAGTTCTGTGTTGACCGCTGCGCCCCCAGCGCCCAGCACGGCACCTGACACGTGGCCGACATTCGAAACAGGCGTGTTTGTGGGAGAGAGGGAGGGAGGGAGGCAGGGGAGCAGGGAGGGACGAACGCATGGAAAGGAAACCAGGAGCAGGAACTGCATCACAAGCGATTACACAGCGAGGCAGGGCAGGCCGTGCAGGTGGCGGCCGGTCTGACCAGGAAGGAGAGGGCTTGGTGGGGAGCCTGAGGGAGCACAAGGGTTCGGGATGTTGTGCATTATTATTATTATTATTATTACTATTATTATTATTATTACTACGATGATGATTTCCTATGCAGAGCATGCTTGTAGCCTCCCGGGAGGGGGCCAAACTCCCTGTAGCCGCGGCTTTATCCCCAGGTGTTCCTAATACGTGAAGCGCCGTTGCGACAAACCGTCCGTAATAACTACCGAGATGGGGTGGGTGGCAGGTCACCCTGAGGGACAGGTTGATGCACCGACTGCCCCCTGGTGGTCAGAGGTGGCCGCCACCCTGAGCAACAGCTGCAAACCTCTCGGTCAGCAGCAGCTTGGACGGGAGCTCAGACGGTTCTGCGCCATTGTAACGAATCCCCCCCCTCGCCACGCGACAGACTGGACGATGTAGGCGCAGGCCCTCCGGTCCCCGAAAAGTCACAGGCACCGTCTGCAGCCTCAGACGGCGGTTTGTCCCGCCGGCCCTGGCTGCGCAGGGGACTCCCTGAGGGGCCTTCCACTTCGACGGCTCGGCCGCACAGGCCCATGACTTCAGACACCCGAGTCCCCGCCACTTGTCAGAGAAGGACAGAGGCAAGGGGCTGATCTCGAGGCCTCGGAGGCGGCACCCCCTGGGTCCCGGAGCTGGAAGGCCCGGCGACGCCCCCCTGAAACGTGTTGGGTTTTATAATCCTCAGCTCTCGGCCCCACTGCGCGGCGCCCCCCCACCCCCTGCAAGGAGTTCTGTCAGACTGGCCGGGTCCCCGACGTGCTGGGGAGCAAACGGAACACCAGCAGGCCCCTCTCGCCCCTCGGGGCAGAGGAACCTTCCTTCCTCTGCGCCGACACCGGAGCACGGCTCGGTCAAACGCCGCTCTGCAGTCTTGACTTGCGTTACCCTCACGTACGCGCCCCCGGCACCCCCGCCGCTGGACCGTAGGTTCCTGCCGGGGAATGTACAGGCCTTCGTCACTTTTCTCTTGGTTTGAAAAACAGACAGAGTGGTGCCTGGTTGACTTCTATCGGTAATTCGTCTGAGGATCAGAGAACTCTGGTGTGCGGCAATATTTCAGTAACAAATGTCCTAGACCGTTGGCCAACGTCCAGACTTTAAAATTCCTGGCGCTGTTTCAGTTTAGGGTGGATGGGTGGTTTAGCCTCTTCTCAAGTGCGGCCTGGCCCGGGACCCCTGGGGGGCGCGGCTTCCTGTGCCAGCCTCTCCTAATCTATCCGCCTTGCCAACTTCGGTTTTCCCGGTGAGGGAAGACAGGGGTGTTTGTTTGTGTGCCACAGTGTAATTTTCTAAAACTTCTTATTGTTCAAGGGCTTTTGAGCTCGTCCTTTTGGCCCCATGAAGGCTCCTCTGTTTCTCAGGGAGTTTCTCCAGCGCAGACAAAGGGGACTTGTAAAACTCGCCAAGGACACCCCTAAGGCAGGTGCCCGCGGATACGGCCCTGTGCCCTGTGCCCCGTGCCCCCGCGGGCCGGGCCGAGCGCGGCCGTCTGCGGGCGACTCGACAGCTGCCGGCTCTCCGCCCTGCCCCCCTACACCCGCCCCCCCCTGCCGCCAGCAGCACCGCCGGACATCTGCACGTTCTCCGGGTGCGCACAGTAGGCGTCTAGGGAGAGGCATGCCCTTGTCAGTTTGGAAAGTGGCATCTCAAAACCCACCCTGCCTACTCCATTTTTTTTCTTTTTTCTTTTTTCTGTGAGACGGATGGTGGGTGTGGTCACAAAGCAAAGGAGAGCGAAGGGGGGTAGACGCGGAAGACGGGGCAGGAGGGGACACCTTTCATCCGAGGGGAGCTGGGGCGGCGGGACGAGGACGGTGGCCGCGGAGATGGAGGACAGCCAGCGGCTCCGAGGGTATCTGGAGCTGGGCTCCAGACGACCAGTTAGATGAGGGGAGAGGGGGAGGGGACGAGAGGAGGACCGAGTCCCGGCTTCTGCTTTGGGCTGGTGGGTGGGCGGTGGCGCCAGCCACTGCCTGGGGACACGGGCCAGCTGGTGTCTGCAGCGGCAGGTGGATTCGGTTCCCCAGGGGTCGGGTCTGAAACGCCGGTGGGACAGCCGGGCGGCGATGCCCGGAGCGCGGCTGGACAGTGGGACGGAGGGTGGGAGGAGAGGTTGGAGTCACCGGCATACAGACGGTGGCGACAGCCTGGGCGCCGGCACAGTGTCCCAGGGAGGGGACGGTGGACCGCACAGGGCCGCCCGCCTCCGGGCGGTGTGCGGAGGAGGAGGAGGACGTGTTGGGGAGTGCAGCCTGCAGGAGCAGGCCGCGGGCGGTGGGGGGGGGGGGGGCAGAGGGTGCCGAGAAGTCCCGGAGGCAAGGGTTGAGCAGGGCCCGTTGGACCTAGCAAGGAGGTTCCTGGGTGGGGACGGTGGCAGCCAGAGGGCAGTCGGCTGGGGCGTGGGCGGGAGCGGGGGGTGGGGGGGGGTGGGCGGAGACCCCACACATTTGCAGCTCCTTCAAGGAGTGTGGCAGTGAGCAGGTGAAAGGGGACATCAGAGGACTACAGGGTCTTTGCAAATTGTTGTGTTTTAGTGGGAGGGGTTTGGGCACTTTCTTTCAGGATTGTACTTACTTGTTTTTAGAGAGAGGGGAAAGGGGGAAGGAAAGAAACATGGATGTGAGAGAGAAACACTGAACAACGGTCGCCTCTAACGCCCTCAACCGGGAGCCTGGCCCACACCCCAGGCATGCGCCCCGACTGGGAATCGAACCGGTGACCTTTTGGTTTGCCAGATGACGCCCGACCCACTGAGCCACACGGGTCAGGGCTGAGCAGGTGCTGAATGCTCACAGGAAGGAGCCGCGAGACACGGAAGGCTGGGCACGTGAGGTGGGAACTGGGTGCAGTGTGCACACTCAGCACGGACAGAGCCGTGGCAGGGCGAGGGCACGGGCCCGGAGCCGGGCAGGAGCAGGCGGTCGCCTGTCATGGGAAGAGGGGTCTCCGCCAGCCTCGAGGAAGGGCAGAGGAAGGAGCCGGGGCCCCTCGCCCCGCCCCTGCCCATCAACCGACCGGCTGCCCTGCACTCAGCTCGCTGAAGACGCCTGTCGAGCTACACGGTGTTCAGACGGGACCAGAGAACTCACCGTTGCCAGGTGACCACCCCAACCCCGAGGGAGCGCGTCACTGCCACGTGGGCCAAAGTCACAGCTTTGTGAGTCACGTGTCTGACCACCTCCCAGGTGCGTCAGAGAATAACCTCCACAGAACGCTGGCGTCGTCAGTGATGGTGGCGGTGGGACCACAGGGACAGGACGCGCCCGGGGGGGACCGTAAGGAACACTCTGTCCTGGCCCTCGAGCCGGAGAGGGGCGACGCGGCCGGGCTGGCCGCGGCGGACTGGCTTGTGTGTCACCCTCTCTCCCTCACCCGCAGGGCGAGCCCCGAGTCTTGTCCATGTCCAAGGCCAATGGGCGTTTCTGCCCAAGAGACGAGTCATGGTCAGTCCCAGCCAGCCTGGTTCAGGAAGGGGCACGGCTCTCGGTTCTGGCCAGTGAGACCGCAAGGAGTCAGCGGGAAGGAAGCTTCTGGAAGCGTCCCCTCATGGTTGAGAAAAGCAGCAGGAGGAAGATGTGCGTCTGTCCGCTGTCTCTGAGCGCGAGCTCTCCCCAGAGGGCGGCGGCGGCCCCGGGGTCACGGGAACCCCCGGGAGGACGGAGCGGGATGGGAGGAAGGAGGCCCTTCGGCGAGGCCGCCTGAGCTGTGCTGCTGGCCGGCCCCAGGGCCGCCTGCCCTGGGCTTTCTCGCTCCCTGAACTAACAGGTTTTCCTGGCTTCGAGGCCACTCCTCACTGCAGCTGGTCGGTGCGGCCGGGTGGGCCCGAGGACGGCCTGCAGCGAGCGGGTGCTGGGAGAGGCGGGGGCCAGCAGTGGGGAGGGTCCGCCGCCCCTGGTGGGGGAGGAACCATGTTGTGACGAGGCCCCCTGACTAAAGAGGACGGGGGTCCTGGGGGAAGGAGGACACAGCCTGGGGAGAAGGGAGGCAGAGGACAGGGCAGAGCCGGTCCCGCCAGCGTCCCTCCAGCTCCTCCCGTCCTCGGGGGATGCGGGCTTGTGGTCCAGTCTCTGCAGCTCCGTGGTTCAGCTCTCACTCCTCGGTCTGGGGCCCCCTCCCGGCCTCGGGGGCGGGGGGATATTCTACGCCAGCTCCAGGGAGAGAAACCGCACAGGTGCCACCCGCTCCCCGAGGACGCACACCCCCGCCACGGGTGGCACCGAGGGTTCAGAGAACCGGCCGGGCCGGGTACCCCCAGGGCAGAAACATCCATTCTCCGCACCCCGGTGGCCCATCCACATCTCGGGACGTGAAGGTCACCTAACTCCGCTACTCCCCACGGTTCCAACCCGACGACCCTGTGACCCTGTCTGGGCACCTCCAGGAAGGTGACGCTTGAATGCCCCGCCGCCCCGACCAGCAACCCCAATTGCCTGCGTCCTGAAGGGGGCGCCTTCCCAGTGAGTTCGCCTCTGGGTATCTCACACACCGCGGGACACCTTGGCGCGTCTCGAAGTCCCCTCCCCTCCGTCCCCCAAAGTTGTCCCCTCTCTCCAAGTGTCCGTCTGTCTGGCTGCCCACTGGTTTCAGCGCCCAGTGTCTCCCTCCGTTCAGAGGCTCCCATGTCCCCCCAAACAACTTCAGTCACATCTCAGCCAGGGGTCCCCCTCCACTCTGTCCCACGGACCACCTGCCTCGTCAGCCTGTCACCTCCCCACTCAGGACGCTGCCTGCCGTGACTGTCACATGCCGTGACTGTCACATGCCGTGACTGTCACCTGCCACTGTGCCAAGCCCCAGCTCTTCTTGGGGAGGGGGATTTGAGGCTCCGCCGTACAGCAGAGCCAGACACACGAGCCAGACACCGTCCGACCCACACGGCGTGCTCCCCCAGCTCTGGCTCCCGCCCCGCTGCCTCCAGGGGGGGGGTGCTCCGTGCCCCCGCTCAGCTCAGCTCGGCCAATCCTCCCATTCCTCCAGGCCCAGCTGGGGCCCCACCTCTTCCCTGAAGACGGAGGGACCACTGGAGCTTGCTCTCCCAGACTCCCCCAGTCCCGTGCTCGTTAGCAGCTAGTTGTCCTAACAAAGGTCCATCCTCTGCCCCTGCCTGGACCGCTCTGCCAGGACGCAGGACGCAGGCCACGTCCCATGCTTCCGAGTGCTCCTCTCGGTGCCCGTCAGCCCCGAGCCTTGGGCAGGGATGAGGACACGGTTTACTGACTTCTAGAGAGGAGACAACCGTCCCCAAAGGGGCGTCCCTGAGCTCATGGCTGTCTTCAGCTAGGGACCAGCGTGTGAGCTGGGGAGGGCGGGGGCAGGGCGGTCCGGGGCCACATTTACCACTGCGGCTTCCTCCAGTGGGGCCACTTGGAGCCAGGGGAGGTGGGTGCGGCTTGTCCATCAGCATGCCCGGTGAGGGGGCTCCTCCCAGGGGGACGGGGGGGATGGAGTAGGGGCCGGGGATGCGGGAGACTGAGGGAGGGTACCCGGCCTTGGCTGCTTTCCCTGCTGCGTACACTGTGGAGGGAGAGGAAGAGCGAGAGAGATTACACGGCCCCGCCCTCACGACCCGCACGCCACGCACCCCTGAGGGTGCGCTTCAGGGAGCTCCTGGGCGTGTGTGTGCCTGTGTGTGTGCCTGTGCTCGTGTGTGTGGGCGCTCACACATGTCTGTGTGCGCACACGCACCCATGTGCATGCTTCTGTGTGCATTTGTGTGCGCTGTGTGCTTATGTGTGGGTACACACGTGTGTCTGCATGTAGCATGTACCCATGTGTGAGTGTGTGCCGTGCCTGCACTTTGTGCGGGGGCACATGTGTGTGTGCCTGTTTCATGTGCATGCACACATGGGTATGTATGCCTGTGCTGGTGCGCGCACACGTGGGCACGTGTGCACATGTGCCTGTGTTGTGTGTGTGCACGTGTGGGTGTGTTTGTACGTGCGCTTGTGTGTACATGTGTGGGCGCGTGTGAACGTGTGCGTGTGTGGGCTTGTGTTTGCGTGTGTGCGCCCTGTGCATGTGACGTGTCCGCCCGTGGGTGTGTTCTCCCAGGACTGAATCACCTCGCAGACGCATTCTCCCCCGCTCCCTGGGACTCCTCCAGCTCCGTCGCCTTCTCGGGAGGCGACAACATCAGAATTACGGTGTTCAGTGCCTGGCAACCGCGTCAGCAACATCAGGCGGCACTGGGAGCTGTGACGGCGGCCCACTCCCAGCCGCACCGCCTGTAGGCGGCCTCTGCCGGGGCTGCCCCGGCTGCCTGCAGGGGAGCGGGGCCTCTTCCAGAGAGGCGGGGCGAGCAGGGGGCGCCTCGCGCAGGCCCCGCCGTGAGCTCGAGAGCAGAGCAGAGCCCCGACTCCTCCGGAAAGCGCTTTACCCCTGGGGGCGCTAAACATGCACGCTCTGGCTCTCCTACAGGGGCTGGCCGGGCTCCTAGCTCCATGCCCACCTGGGCGTGGCCGGTCACGTGAGCTCGGGACTCCCCGAAGGAGGACTGGTCCCTCCGCGCACGCACCGTTTTGGCGTGGGAGCGAATGAACCCCATCCGCGGCCGGGTGGTGCCCACCGCGGCGGCCTGCACGCTCTGCCTGGGGGGCATGACCGGAGGCGGCTCCCTCGGGTTTGAACGCCCCGGGGAGAGGGCAAAGGCCTCACCCGCAACCTCGCCATCCTGAACCTGCCCTTCCTGTCGTCGTCAGTGTCAACGAGCACTCCGAAAGCCGGTGACAGGCGTGGACAAGAAGCATGGAGAGGTGAATGGTGGCGAATGGGAAATGAAGACGGTCAGCTCTGGGAGGCGGGGCTCCCGGCGGGGGGCGGGGTCTGGAGTGAGTGACACTGGGGCGGGAGGGAAGGGGGCGCAGGAGGCCCGGTACTCACAGGCCTGCGGGCAGCAGCAGGAGTCGGGGCAGCACGGGCAGCGCACGTAGCAGCAGCAGCTGTGCGGGCAGCACTGGCACCAGCAGATGCCCACCAGGACGAAGAAGAGGAAGACTCCCAGGATCACCAGGCCCACGAACACCCACTCTGGAAGGACGCACAGGGAAAGCCGTGTCAGGACGGACGGGCATGCGCGCTGGCGTCTCCCCGCGAACAGGCAGGAGCGGCGGGGGCGGGGGGGCCTGGGGAGGAAGGCGCCTCGTCAGCCAGCACTGAGCCCCCAAATGCCGGGGACCCTCGGGGACCGAGATGTGTACTTCCGCCAAGAAGAGGGACGTCACCTGGCCTCGGTCCTACGGAGAACGCGCAGTGACCAGCCCAGGCCCACAGGGAGGGGTTTCAGGGACCCCTCCAGGGGAAAGGATTTACCGTGTTGACCACAGTGTCGGCACAAGCATGGGACAAGGGTGGAAAGACTCGTGCCCGGGAGGGAGGGGACTTTGTTTGCTGAGCTATGAGGTGGTGGGTTCTGCGGCCGCATATTTTGGGGAGTCTCGTTAATCTTGTCCCTAGAAGTGTGTAAGTCCTGAGGAGAACGTCTCCATGTCCACCTGGCCTAAATCAGAACACATCTAGGTGGTCGGGGTCCTTAGGTGTCGTCTGTTTCCCTGCCCACGGCCCCTGCAGTGTCTGCCCTGACCTCAGCGTCAGGGCGTGTCCTTGCCCTGCAAACGGCGCTGAGAGACGAGGAGAGACGGGGGTTTTCAACAGAGAAGATGCTGTCCCCACCCCTCGCTGTAGGGCCCCCCCACTCCCTCGGGGGGGGGGGGGGCGGCTGGGAGACCACAGGGACCTCCGATCTCCCTTAACAGCTACAAGATTAGAGCCATTCATTCTGATGGAAAATCACCCACCAAAAAGCCCTCTGCAATGGACTTTAAGTACCGGCTGTTTTTCCTAAGTTGGGTTATTCAATTTTCCTTCCGTGGAAAGGACATTCGGTGACATTTTTGTTATATAAAGGGTTTTGTGATGAGGGTGAAGTTAGGGGCCTTCGCCGAGAACGTAATTTCCTCAGAGAAAATAGCTCCTGTTTCCCGAATGTGCCTCCTCGGGCAGCCGCCTGAAATGCGCTCACCCTGACCCGGTCTCGCGCTCTGCGGAGAGGGGCTGAGAAGAACTCGTGCCCGCGAGGGTGGCCGGGGAGCGTCGTGCCGAGGACAATGGATGGCGGAGGGCTCTGGCCTGGCTCTTAGAAGCAACACAGTCACAGCGTGTACCCCGAGACACAGGGAGCCCTGCGCACGGGGTGAGCTGTGGGCCTGGCGGTCAAGGAGAAAACAGTGGCTGGTGACCTCGCACGAACATTGTAACCCATGAAAGGGTTCTCCAGTCACAGGGAGGGGATTCCCGGCAGCCGGGGCCAGATTCAAAAAATACAGTAACTCCTTCTTGGGACTGGGGTATGTGACGTCTAATTTAAAGAAGCAATGCAAGGTAACATTGTTTCTTTCATTTGGGGGGGCCGAGTGGTACAAAGTGGCCCAATTCTGGAGCCGGGGGCTCACAGAGAGACAGCTCTTTGTGTCCCTGGGCTCAGCGTGAATAAGAGTGTCTGTGTTTGGGCTGGTCAGCGAAGGGGACAGAGCCAAAAGAATTCTTGGAAACATAATGAGTGAAGCTCAACCAGGAAGACTCTGGATGTTTCTTAAACCTTGAATCGAGTCAAAAGCAATGGCCGGGAATGTTTTCTATCTCTCTGTAGCTCTTAAGTACCAGTCAGCTCTTAAACCTTGGGCCAAAACCCTCCACAGAAAGACGGAACCCATTCCCACTCCCCGAGATTGGCTCTGCCTTCCCCCGTGGTTCCTTCTGACCTCTCTCTGAGCTTCCTCCCATCACGGACTACTGGGCCACGCCAAACTCACGCTGGCTTGTCTAGGCTGGTGCGTTCCACTCAAGCTACATAAAGTTTCAGAGGTGTGCATTCGGGACAAGTGTACTTGACCTATGGTCCACAGACACTCTGCAAGGACTGAGGGGCCCCAGAAGGCCCTGAAATCGTACACAGAGCACACCAGGTGTGCAGACGCGTGCCTCCAAGGAGGGAGGGGCGCATGGCTGAAGTTACAGACGGCGGTTCAGAGTAACGCGGCTGCAGGCTAAATGAATGGGCAGACGTATAACTGGGGGCATAAGGAATGCAGACAAGTAATGACTCGGTTAACAGTGCTTAGAACTCTGCGTGCGGCCGAGACGCCGAGGTGGGCGGGGAGGGGGGCTGAAGGACCCGAGGGCCCGGCACGGAGGACCTGGGTCCCCGTCTCAGCCCATTTCGAATTCCTATTATGCTTTTAGGGTCTGATAACGGAAGATGCACAACTCAAAGCCTCTCCCAGCGGGCTTGGCTATTCATCCTGGAAAAGACCACAGACAGGTGGAGACACTTGCGTGAACAAATTAAAGGGAGCAATCAGTGACGCGTGCAGCAGCCAGACAGACGGAGGGACAGCGCGGCGGGCAAGCAGAAGGAGGGTTCGGTGACTGAGTACCTGGCATAAGCTCCACGGCAAAGCTGGGCAAGAGGTCAGCGCGCAGCCCTGTCCTGCCTGGAGGAGGTGGAAGGGAAAGAGAAGGAAAGAGGTTACTGGCAAGGAAAGCACAGCCGGAAGCCTGGCCGCGGAGGGCGCCGTCCCCACGCCGGGCACTGGCCCGCGCTCTCCGTGGCACGTGGGGCCCATCGCAGCAGCAGCTGGGCTCGGCCCGGAGAATGACCTTCCCGGCCGGTCGCTGGCAGCCTTGTGAGTGAGCCCGGCACCCCGCATCAGGGTGGGAGCAGTCACAGAGCTTCCGCTCCAACCGTTTCCAGGAGGAGGACATCTCCGCCTTAAGGACGAAAAACCCGCCGGCGCAGACGACACGCAGCGTCTCCACTCACTTCACTTCCTTCTCTGCACGCTGTTTTGGAGAGTCCAACCCGCATGCATCCAGACAGCCAGCCTACGTTTCCAAACATCCCCAGACACCCCTGAGTCCGCGTAAAAACAAAGCACATGGTAGACTTTAACGCGGAGTTTGCTCACTGCGTGATTCTGTTTACGGCCTAGAGATCGTTCGACGGTTAAAATTTCCAGAGGCAAGGACAGTAAACTAGGTCGTCCACGGTCACCCGCTCCTCTGCCCTCCTTCAGGCTTCCACGGTTCCCTGTGCACCCATCTGCGGCAGGGCTTGCCCACAGGGCGCCCACAGGGGGCGCTGTGTGGCCCCAGGTGACCCGTGCCTGGCGTGGCAGAGAAGCTCCAGGGCCTGGCGTCAGCACGGGTGGCCCGAGGCTCCCGCTGGCAAGGAGCCCTGCGGGAAACGGGTCCCTGGAAGACCCAGGAGAAGGAGGCTGGTCCTCCCAAAAGTAGCCTGGCCTATAGAGACTGCCCTTGGCCCGTTCTCCCATCACGGGGAGTGTCAGGGCCCTGGCGGGGGGGGAGGCGGGGCGGTGCGCGTGCGCCTGCGCCAGACACCTCCGCCACACTGCGGTCTTGGGGACAAACCAGGCGCCGTGGGAGAGGGCGAGCCAGCTGCCACCTTCCGGCCTTGGGCTGGCCGAAGGGTCCCTGTGGCCCCCGAATGCTGCGTCATCTGTGTGCGTGACATGCTTCCAGAACAGTAGGGCGACGGGCAGTCTTAGTTTTCTAGTAACCGCATCGAAAGAGGAAAAAGCATGAGATGAATGATATTTCTTACTTATACCAATATAGCCCAGACACTGACACTTCACAGGCTCAGTCTATCAGCTCGGTGCTGCTGGGGGCTGGTTCACACGTGTGGGGGCGGGGGCTCATTCCACTCCCGGTGAAATCTGGGGATGGGGCGTAAAGGAAAGGTCACTCGCGTGTGTGGTTTATACTTTGGGCCGGAAGGTCGTGGTTGGGCACTGTCCTCTCCTCTCTCAAGCTCCCCCTGTGCCCCCCGCCGAAAAGCAGCTCTGGAGTGGGTCGTAGAAAGGGGAGCAGGCCCAGGCCATCATTGTGTGGGGGGGGTGATGCTGGACCAGGGCAAGGTGCTAGGGACTCGGGGAAAGGGGTTTTTGCTCCCTCTGCTTTTTCTCGGTTCTCCCCGACTCTCCAAGGCCAGTGAAGTAAATGCGTCCCGGCCACGTCTCCTGCAGGGGTGACGGTCCCGCATTTGAAAGTTTGTCAGGACCAGAGTTCGTTCCAAGGGCCAGGAAGCACGCCGTGGGGGACTCGGGCCAGCGCTGGTGCGGTTTGGGGCAAGAAGAGCTCCCCTCTGTCTCCAGTCTGTCGGGTGCGGTCGATGTGCTCAGAACGGTCCGCCGCCCGCAAGGTCTGGGCAGGGGGCGGGGGGGGCATGAGAGCCACGGGAGGCGCTGGGAAAGGCATCCCCAGGGTGGGCCTCAGCCTGAGACTTCACGAGAGGCTCAGCGGAGCTCACAGGCGTCTGGTCCAGTTTTCCAGGATGGGAGGCCAGACTGGGGTTTGGGGCTGAAGTCAGGGCAGCGACGGAGAGCATCCATTGGCCTCACCTGGGGCGTTCTCTGCACAAACGTCTCTTGGAAAGTCAGCAAAGCAATCGACGGCTGGCTAAGGATTTGGGAACTTGGGATCCTGGGCCTCTCTTAAAGGCATAATTAATACTAATCTCCAGCCAAGAGCCCATGATCAGGAAATCAATACACAGTGTTTTTAGCAAGCCAGTCATCCCACACTTAAAGAAAAAACAAAAACCCTGGACAATCAGCACTTCTAAGGATATCTCTTACTGTACCTAGTAAAGAAGAAGTTTCTCTTGCTTCTACTCTCTGGTTCTCAAGCCTGCCAGCGCTGAAGCCTCTGTGGACGTGAGACGGCCCAGCTCATTAATTACACTCACAACGGAGACAGTATCGACGGTGCACGCTGCCGGTCCGTGCGTTCCCGCAGGAAACTGGCCGTGAGAGTTATTAACTGGAAGAACCCAGACAGTCAAGGGGGAACAGCGCTCAGACGCGGCCTACGGAGCGTGGCGTATTGGAGAGAGCGGCGGGCGGGGCTCGGGGGCTGGGCGCGGCGCTGCCCGGCATTTCCACGGTGATTACTCCAGGCAAACCGCGTCCCCTTCCCAGGCCTCAGCGCTCTCCCGGGCCAAAGAAGTGGGCTGTACGCGGGGAGACCATTCGGCTGGGTTTGTCGGGGACAGTCCTGGCTTACGACGCTGCTCGTCCTGGGGTGATTATTCCCAGCGCCCCTTTTTACTCTCAGTGTGGGGGACCCTGCCGAGGACACTTTTGGTTCTCAAATCTGATACGCAGCGACTGGAGTCGCAAAGGCAGCTCTCCGTCTGTAGGGACCAGCAGGGCATGCAAACGTAAGGGACACGTAAGGGAGGCACGCAGCCTGGGGGCGTGGCAAACGGCAGATTACGCGTCTGGAGCGGCTGCCACTACCCACGTCTGGCCAGCTGTGGTCCCAGACGAATGTGCCTTCAGGGTTGACCAGACCCCAGACTTTTTATGTGAAACATCCTGATGTCTGAATGTTCGCGACTGATTCAAGGCTTTTAAAGAACGCCAGGCGAGCCATACAAACTGGGTCTGGGGCCACCTGCAGCCCCAAGATCACGCACCGCCAAGCACGCATAAAACATGAAAGCCGGATTCCTCCGCAGGCTCTTTGGTGACCGCCACGGTCTTCTGATCCTGCTTCTGCACCCGGCACATCAGCCCCGGACACCGGGGTCCCGGCCTGACAGCATCACCCCCCACCCTGCTGGCTGCTCCTACTCCAGGGAGCCGGAAGGGGCACGGGAAAAGCATGCCAAAGGGGCTTTCATGTTTTAGATTTTTTTTTTACATCTGTAATTGAAAAGACTAAAATAAGGAAAGGCAGTGTCAGGAATGCAGACAGGGGACTCACAAAGCTTGTCACTCCAACAGAAAGGTGGACGTCAAACTTCTCACTCTCCCGGAAGCCGCAGCCAACAGCCGTTTCAGAAGACGCCCCGGTTTCCCACGGTGCACTGGTGTGGCTGGCCCCCACTGGCCACGGGATACACTCTCACAGTCCAGAGGGGAAGGGCAAAGGTCTTTGGAGTCCAGACCAGTCAGAGTTTGGGGAGAGTGGACAGGGCCGCCCCATCAGGCCCACGGTGGACAGAGTGCAAGTCTCCGGCTTTGACACTGTGACTCACATTCCCCTGGACTAAAGGCACCTTAAAGCGTGGGTTTCCGCTTGGACCCCGCGTTTCGGAAAAGCATTCTGCTTCCGTCTCGTTGCCTGGCGATTCCGGAGAAACGCCATGGCCGGTGGAAATGCTCGCTCCTTCCTTCCTGTCCTGACCGGTCACGCCCACGGAAGCCCCGCCCGGGGAGCACCCCAACCTTCAGAGCAGACACCCGCCCGCTTTCAGCAGCGCTCGGCCAGCCCCGGGACTCACGCCCGTCCCTCCGGCGCCCGCGCCAGAGCGGCGGTCCCGCATCACTGGAATGTCTGAGAAAGGGCTGAAGACAGGCCGCGCCAGCAGACGGCCCCGCTTCCTCTCTTCGTAGTTCGGACTGTTAGTAACAAACGCAGTGTTCCTGCGGCACTCAGTCTTCCCGGCCCTGGCGGGACCCAGCACTGCTGAGAAACTTCCCCGTGAATCAGCTGGACGACGCAGGCGTACCAGCCGTTAGTGCGAGCTCATGGGGGTGCCCGTTTCACACCGAAGTGTCACACGCGTCGCAGCCCAGAGTGTCCGCAGGCCTTGGCTTGGACGGTCAGGGCAGCAGCACGCACTGCGGACGGGACAACTTACACGCCGTCCCTCCACCGCCCCCTACGGCAGGGGCCCCCTTGAAGTTCTCCCCCCTGCCTATCGTGTTCGTACTCCTCGGAACCGCTGCTTCTGGGGTGTCTCCAGTTCATTCGCTCATCCTTCCTTCGTTCATTCGACCAACAAAGACGTGTGTGTTGCGCCAGGCACAGGCCAGGGGCGGGGGACAGGACGGGACCCCCACACTCGAGAGGCCCCGGGCTAGCCCGGGCCCGTGTCCGGCCGTGTGAGTGCAAGAACTCACTGTCAGCCGTTCGCGTTTTGTCCCCAGACCTAACTGAGGCCCCGCACGTTCCTCCTGCCCAAAGCAGTGCTCGCTCTCACCGGCCTTTCCCGCATGGGTGACCTCGGGTGCCTCTGGTCCCGGGCCTTCCCCCGCAAAGACCCAGTGTTGGCGCTGCCCCGAGCCCAGCAAACCCCGTCCGGGCGACATTTCCCCGAGGTTCTAGGACTCCCTTCGTGGTGGGCCAGGCCCCCCAAGGCAGGACTGACTCCCCTTCTTCCCTGAAAGCACGGCGCACCCTCGCCCGACTGTCCTGCCTTGTTCAGATCTACACCACACACAGCCTCCGAGACTCTGGCCTGGGCCGGTGGCTGCCCGGGGAAAGAGTGTCCGCCCCGCTCAGAGGGCCACCAGACACGCCCGCAGGGTGCACCTTCACGCAGGGACGGGGACCCTCCGGGACAGGACCTGCGTTCGCAGCCTGGTGTCCTCGGCAGCCCCGGAGGTGGGACCCCCTCCACCGCTCCGGCCCTTGCAGTGTTTCCTGCAGTGAACACCCGCCCCCCCACCCCGTGGGCTGT